CCATAAATTTTGCAAAAAAATCCTTACAACCCGCACCCGGGGGGAGGGCGGTGTCAGCTGTGAAGCTGAAGGAAAGGAGAGAGGAAAAAGTAACTTATTTCTAGCGGCAGAACAGGTTGGAAGATGGCTGTTTGATGTTATTTATTGTTTTTTTAAATCATCCTATAGGCTCTGACATGTTAGATAAATTTGAAAATGAGGTTTTTAAAATATCCGTAAGACTTGAAAAAATCCGTGGTTGGGAGGTTGATATCTCCTTTGTGTCAACATGGAGGTATGACTGCACAGGCATACTGAGATACAACAGCACCAAAGAATTGCTACAAGGATGGGTCGAAGGACACAGCAGAGATAAAACTCGGACATGGTGGGGGTTTCAAAGAGAAGAAATGGAACATTGGGTGATCCCCTTCCTGTCCCAATCTGACAGTTATTGGGTAAAGTATCAATATATAGCAACGGTGTACTCAAAAGAGCACGACATATGGTCCTCTGTAATTTACAGACCGGACAGGTTTGTCAGCCCAAGGCCATAGAAATTGACCTGTACCAGAAGTGGGTACGCTTGCACAGTAAGCCTGGCACGAAGATCCTGCAGTGAACTACCAGGCTGGGAAAGTTACTGTGGGAGTTTTTATGCCAACGAGTACCATACTCATCAGGCTGCGACGGTATGGACCAAGACTTGACCAACAACTTATCACAAATTAATATCAAATGCAACCAACACATGGCGTTGAGCCATGGCCCGTGATCATTGTGTTAATGCCATCATAGGACCCCACATGAAGTCCCGGAAGAGTATTGCTGGAGAAATTATCCCCTCAGTTCCTGACACTATGATCACGATAGCTGAGAGTCACGCTTTCAGAAGAGGGCTGTGCCTAGGCCTCGAAGAGGAAGGATTTGAGTGGATAGGTCCGAACATACTCTATTCTAACCTCACATGTAATTACCCAGAAGAAGTTTGGAAAAAATGTGGCCCTGACTCCGACAAACACACCTGTGCATGGTATGAAACCCTGCACACAATGGCCCTCAGAGAAAAAAGACCCTGGCAAAAGGAGCCATTGAAATTGTTGCCGAAGGGGCAGGAGCCTTTGAGGAAGGTATGGTGGAGTTGTTGGAAAAGATTTGGCCGTGTTGCCTGACGATCATTGGTATCTTGTTTGCTGCTGTCCTGGCACGCCTGGCTCTGAGAGAATTGTGTCTCAGAGCCCTGCCCCCAAGGAGGGGTGAGTATAAGCCCCTTCCCCAGGATAAAGAGTAACTTTAAGTTGAGAACTCATAGCCTCAGTACACAGTATTGCTATTGCTTTCCTTGACGCTGCTGAAACGCTACGAATGAAGATTATTATGGAAAAGAGACAAGGGGGGCAAAGAGCTCCGAAGATCAGTGTGGAAATAGATCCAATCTATCCTGAAGAAATTCTAATTTTAGACTATCATGTTGGTCCTTATTGGTTCAGCAGAAGATATCGAATGTCATCTAGGAGAAATTTATTGAAAATGATGGCCGGGACAATGAGAATAATCACCGCAAATCACGAATTATTCTTCAATGAAATAAGAGGCCACTATTTTCAAAGTTGACTGTAAGGCCAAAGGAGGAGGGGTCACGAGCACCTCCCTCCCTGAGGGAGTGCAATGGCACCACATAAAACCAGAAACCCAGAAGCCAGGACACTTGAACCCATCCAGCAATATGGGAAGATGAAGATAAGACAGAGTCATTGGCACCCTGACCCAACCAGAAAAATCAAGAATTTTAAAATATTTGTGGAAGTAGACACATCTTGGAGAACGGACGTCTTGGTTGTGGAGCACCCTAGGAGATTCCTCTCAGAACGCGCATGGCAACTTCGGCATATATTCTATTATAATCTCGGTGCGGAGGATCGGGACGAACTGTTGGAAATGACTGTACGTCGGGTACTGTTGATGGCCGGCCCACATTATACTCTCCCTTACCAGTTGCAGGGAAAAGATTTTCATAACTAACCGTCCGGATCAAGGAAGGAGGAGGGGACTACAAGCTCCGCCCCTAAGGAGGGTGCTGGTTCCCTATAAAACAGGCTGCGCTGAGACAAAAGAGGAACAACCCCACTGGACCTGGACGAAGACACAAGAAGAGGAACAACTGCAGCACACCATGGCTTCTATCCAGCTACCTAACACACCCGACGTAAGTCCCACTTTTAACTCATCCATGCAGCATACCCGCTCACCGAGACCCAGGGATCCTCCCTTGGCTGTATCTCCAGTAGAGTACTATGTGATAATGTTTGCATGGTTCTGCTACTGCATGACGGGGAAATGGACTCTCAAGCAACCGTTGAGAATTCTTATCCTGGCCATGTCAATGGGTCAGGTTACAGTTGGCTGCCTTTTAGGCCGACAAGAAGTCGCACTCTCCCTGTTCGTCTCCTACATCTTGGGGAGAACGAAGCCACTGCAACCCCGGGCGGCTGCTTTACTTCTCTTATGGTTGTTTATTGAGTTTGTTGTAATAGGCATTGAATGGGTCAGACGAGCACCATTCTCCCGCTTTGCCCCGGAGTACATCATCCTGGCTGTCTGGGAAGGTATGCTGGCCATGAGTGTCATCTTTGTCATCGGACGTGAAAACTGCCGCATAACATGTTAGCCTGGTTCCTTCGGTTCCTCCGCCTTGCTCTGTGGGACATAGCCTGGGGCGTTTATTCAACCTTATATTGGATGGGACTAATCAGCGAGTTATCGATCCTTGCCTGGTTCATGACTTATGCTGCCCTCCTCCCTGTGGCTGTCTCAGCTGAGCAAGCCTCGCTCAAACCACCTCCTCTTCCTCCAAGAAACACGCCGATCACCACCCCGCCTAGCAGAGCTTGGCCGCTCCAGCGCTGGGTTAATCCTCCTAATTTACCTCCCTTCGATGTCTCGCTCTACCACAATTGCCCCATGTCTCAAGATGATTAACTTTTTTGCTTTTTGCTGCGTTTAAGCCACATTTTTGTGATTTTTGTGATTTTGATTTTGTGTTTTAATACAACTTATTGTTGCATCTGGCGCTTTAAGTTGTAAAAGTATCATATTCACTCCTAACCTCCTTCACCCCTGTGTTCTGACAGGTACAACATTGTGCAGACTGTGGGAAGAGCTTAAGGGAGTTCCCATTCCTTTGGGAATACCTCGGGGCTGCATGGTGCACTCCATGCTACACTTCCTACTTTGGAATCCCGGTGGCTACGGCCATCATACTGAGAGATGGGATCCAAAGCTGCCCCCGAGCCGACTTCTCCCAAAGCCTCATGCTGCACAAGGATGGGCAGATGGTCCACTGTACTCTTCAGAACCCGAACCTCCCTGAACCCTTTGTACCTGTCAATGTTTACCAGGCGTGTACCATCCCCCTCATCCAGAAGATCTGGAAATCCATCTCCACTAACCGCATGTCAGCCTTCATACCCCTGATTATGCTTTAGTGGATCTACACGTCAGCCAACCTGCTGAAGAAGTGAGTACTGTGCAACAGGCTGTGGCCGATCCACCATGCCAGCACATCCCGCCAGGCTCATCCCCTGATGCCATGACTGATCCTGCTCCCCAGGACATGTCATCACTGCAAGATACCCTTCATGACTTCGACCTTATTGCCTGGCTGGAAGATGAGTCTAAGGAGGTGCTGCAGCACGGCCCTGTACCAGCCCTGGAAACTATCATTTTGGATCCACCTTCTCCATGGTACAGCCCATCCATGCCTGACCTTTCCCCTACACGGTCTCAGCCGGTGGCGGATGCATCTGCTGCAGATAATGCAGCCCTCCCCTCCCAACAGGCCCCTACTGACCTGCTGACCATCTCCCCTGGTCCATCTGATTTTGATCTCGAGCTGACAGCTCCACGTCCCTCTTTGTCTGGTACCACAGACACTCCCCATCATCGGCGTGTGGAAGAAAGCCACCCCTCTTCCTCTATCGAGGCACTCTTGGGCCCGCCAGTTGCAGAAGAGAGTGTTGGAAGACGCTCCCCGCCTGGCCCCTCCACCTCTCACCAGCGGAGAGAGCCCAGCACTGGCAGGACCCCATATGCAGCCACGGTGGACAGGGCGGTAAGAACCTGGCACCAGCCTAAAGCCGAGGGGTATGACAAAAGATACCAACCAAACAAGATGGGGTCTCCCAAGACCCACACCCCCTTCACTCGCCCAGGACGCCTGGCGCATCGCCCCCATTATCCACCTTATGTCCCAGCCAAGATCCAACCATTGATGCCCCCTGCTCTTCTTTCTCGGGCTCCTTGTCCTGATTCCAAGGAGAGGATGTCAAGAAACCTGGCTACATCAGCCATCTCAAGAGTTGGAATCAGGCCAGCAGAGCCTCCTTTTGACTCTCACTAGAGAAGAGAACGGGACAGGAAGAGAACCCACAAGAAGGACCGAGACGCAGGCCAGAGGGACAAGAGGATCAAGAGAAAAAAGGAGAATAACTAAGAGTAATAATTATTCATTTTAATCCATTTTAATGCTGGCAAATAAATAACATGTGTAATAATTACAGTATATGCTCAATCGCAATGTGTGATTTAACTAACGTACTGTGATAATTAATGTGTTTTTAAATGTAAGGTGGTGATTTAGGAGAAGTGTAAAAGTGTGTCTTAAGATTGAGGAAGGGTGTGTGTGTGCTATTTTGGACGGTGAAAGTACAGAGCACTTCTGTGAAAACAGAAAAAGCAGAAGTGTGGGTTTTCTGAAAGTCCCAGAGACAGAAAAAGTCCCTAACAGTCCTATTACCAAGAATCAGCAGGATTACTTCGTTCTGGGAAAGTACAGAAAAACCAGTGGTGGAAAGTCCCCACCCTACCACAGAGGGTAAGGAGGGGGTGAGCAGGCCCTAAAAAGAGTATAAAAGAGGAGCAGTTTCAGCAGTCTTTTGTCTTCTGGCCCTAACTGGAGAAGAGGCAGCAAGAAGCAAGGACAGCCCAAGAAGAGGAGCAAGCAGATCCGAAGGACATCTCATCTGGGACACGCTGACAAACTTCTCTCCAGCGATCTACGGACCGAAGACCAGATTAAACCCACCCAGCTCTGAGAAGTCCTTCTTAGGCAACAATCTGTTGCTTCTCATGGAGGTAATGCCGACACTACTCCAACCTGTCCTGCTGTCCCCAAATTAACAGAAAATGCCACACCACCTAATTAGAAAGATAGGTCAGCATATTAKAGCATTTTATTTTTATCACCATCAATTATTAATCAATATTCTTAATCTGTATAGTCAAATGTGGCTTTTCTTGCAAATTCCTATTAAACTGCTTACAGCATCATAAAGACAATTTCATGACAGGACATTGATTTTTAAAGTTTTTCTTTGATTACATGAGAGTGTTGTTGCTTCAAAGCAACARGGTGTTAACATATTAATGAGTATGTGTGCCTTGGAGCCAAGAGGTAATGAAATGAGGTCATAAAAATAATAATAAGTTCATTTTTAAAGGTTATTAGCCTGGGGAGATAGGATAACWCCCCTTAACAGTTCCCTTGAGACCTATTGTACAGGTCACTAAACATTATCTCGGTCACAGTAAGAAGTGCACATCCTAAAAGGGAGCGGCTACCAGGAACAGTGGTGACCGGCAGCTGGAGGCGTCCTGAGCTACTGCGCTGATCATGAAGGGAGCGATCACTGGAAAGAAGGCAGCTAGAGACCGAGCTAAAGGCTCCCGCCCCTGTCACCTGGAGGAGATAGGCCGGACACGGCCACACGGGTCCCCCCCCCCCCCCCCCCCCCGTGGCTGTAAGTCCGGTCCAACACCTCCAAACCAAGAGGGAGGCATCGTCTCCTCCCCAAGACCCATCGGTATCCTTGTGGGTAAACTGGGGGAGGAGCCACACAGGAAATCAAGGGACAATCCGAGGGCCGAGGGACTCCATCCACATCCGCCACTCCACCGAGACACACCGCAACAGCAGCAAGCTGGAGGAAGCAGCCCAACCGGCAAGGTAGATGACATTTACCAAAGTTAGGATAACTTATGGTCCATGCTTGTATACACGCCATAGGAYRCTTGTGTGCTGTTGTTTTTCCAAAATGATGTCCATCATTTGCGTCTTTGATCTTCCGTTTATGTAGCATGCAGAGTAACAGCAACACTAAAGCTGAGGTAAATTTGGTCAAAAACAGACCTGCAGATGCCTGTAAAGCCAAATTGGATGTATTTTCCTGCAGCGAAACTGCACAGCTACATACATCTGCTGCCACCGCCGCCATCTTGTCTCAAAGTCTATGGTGGGGCATTGAGAAGTGTTGCTGTGCATTTTGAAGCGTTGGATGCACGTATAGTGCATCCAAAGAAGCAGACACTTGAGGGAAAATTTGAAATTTAGCAGTTAGAAATGGAGTGTCAGCTACATCTAGCCATATGTGACATAGTGGCACATTTTCCGATGGGATAATCTCCTGAATGATGCCCACTAACCTGAGACAGATGGACAGAGCTCTCCAGCTGAAATCAAGCACCTGTAGTTGATGTCCTGGCAGAAGATATGGGCATCGACGGGGGTCAGCCACCCAGTCAAACTGTGCTCAGGACCAAAAAAAAAAAAGCGCTGAATGCAACACTCATCAGCACACAGCTCCTGGAGTGGTGAAACTCACCAAACTCAACTCCTCTGAATTACCTGGTGAATCCACAGTGCCCAACAACAACGTCCTCTGGCTCTCAGTAAATAAAGCCATGCCACTCTCTCAGTTTCATCTGTCATTGTACAGAGACCGGTATAGAAGGCTCCTCTCAACGTGCATCTTCATGTGCAAATAGAGCGATTTTGACGAGCATCTGACCTCAAAGTGCACAAGCGTCCAACTTGAGTCATTGGACACATTTTTGATGTGCAAAACATGTTCGGTCTGAACGCAGCATAAACCAGTTACATGCACAGGTTTTGCAGTCTTTACAGTAGTGGTCAAGTGTTGGAGACAGAGAAAGGATGGAGAAGGTGGAGAAAACAGAAATAGAGAAGGAAATATACAGGAAAGTGAGAAAGGATGGAGAAAACTGTTAGTTGAGATGGAGAAGGGGAGAAAAACTGGAGAGTTAACAGACACAAATACAAAACAAAAAATACAAAAAAAAACCAGAAAAAATAATGGCATCAAAAAAATGGACGGCAAAAATAGAGCATTTAATCCAGGATGGACAGAGACATTTTTCTTTATACTTGCCACTGGAACTAAACCAGTGTGCCTCACATGTTCAGAAATGCAACACTTTTAAAAATGGCAATGTTTAATGCCACTATGAAACAAAGTATAAAAGTTTTAAACAAAGTTTTGAACAAATGCACCAAATCAACATGTACAGTTGTCGTATTTAGTTTCTTATTTTGACATGTTCATTATACTTTTACTCAGTAAGAGAAAATAAAACATCAGACTTTAGAATTTCATGTTCATTTTTTTGTTACGTGACAATAAATATTGAAAAAGTATTTGAATTAAACTGAATTAATTTAATTTTATATGCAAATCAATTTGTGCGGATGTTGATACAACTACTAAGCTACTTAAATATACCTGTATATAACTCTAAATAGTAGGACATTATAATCTTATGGAATTTGGTCTTAAGAAATTTTCTCTGATTGGACCCGTTAAAATTTTAATTGAATATCCCTGGGTTAGAGACTTATGCTGATGAAGACTGAAATCTAGTGGTCAACTGGAGCAGCAGCAACTACATGGAAAACGTCCTGATGCTTCTCAGTAATCCAGGTAGAAAACATCAAAAAGAAAAAATCAGTAGGTCCTCTGGATGATTCTTCTTTAGTGAAACGTTTCGTCTTTCCTCCAAGAGACTTCTTCAGTCTGAGAGTTTCAGGTGAACTGGAATCCAATGGAAACATGGAAAACTAAAATCCAAGCTCTTATTTTGTAGGGAAGATACTAGTTTCCTGTTGTCCGTGCTTTTGTATCCCGTCATAAATGTACCCAGAATACATAGCTTCAGTTTTCCAATAAACAGTTTTAAAATTACTTTATTGATGCTTCTTTGATGAAAAATCTACAACAAACAAAAGACAAAGGAGCAGCCGAACTAGCAATCCTCAACAACTTTTTAATTTTTACACCAGGAGCTAAAGGTCTGTTTCAGGAAATCACATCCCTTGCAATAAACGAGCTGTACAAGGGTTCATACACCACTAGTGGGCAGCATTGTACATATATTGTACATGAATTGTAGACAACTAGTAAATGTCAAACTGAACTGTGGTTTAAAATTAGCTTACGCTAATATTTCTACAGCTTCAGCGCTTTTGAAGTTGCGGACATAAATATTTTCATAAGCACTTTAGAAATTGCGGAGCTAATTTTTGAATTAGCACTGCCCACCACTTGTGGCCACTAATGATGGGGGGTTGCTGCAGCTGGTCAGGTCTAGGTTTTTGGAGGAAATCTTTTCTCTGTGTGTCTGCAGAACCAGACCCAGCAGCACCAGCAGACGACGGGCCAGAACCAGGCTCAGACCCAGCAGCAGGTGGCAGCTCAGCAGGCCCCCTCCCAGCAGAGCTCGGCTCAAACCAACGGCACCGCCGGAGCCACGGGGGCCACTGTGGGCGGGGGGCTGCAGCACAGTCAGGACCAAGGCCCACCCAACAAGAAACCTCGGATCGGGCCCTCTGGGGCCTCCTCAGGCACAGGGGTGCTGCCGTCAGAGTACCAGGTGGGTTTTTATTATTTTGAGTTTATTATTGAGAGCTTTATAGTTCACACAACATATGGTTCGAGGGCCAGAAGTGGCCTTTGGACAATCGCCAACAGTCCCCCAGTAGTGTGTTTTTAATCGAGACTTGAAGACAGTGAGTGAAGGAGACTGTCTGACATGTAGTGGTAGATCAGTCCACAGTCTTGGACCTGCTACAGAAAAGGATCTGTCACCTCTCAGTTTGAGACCAGAGTCAGGGACCTTCAGAAGCAGATGACCAGATGATCAGAGAGAGCTGTGGGACAAGTGGATACACTAGACCTGACAGGTAAGAGGGGCAGAGCTGTTTAGGCATTTAAAGACATACAGGAGGATCTTAAAATGAAATCTGAAATGAACTGGAAGCCAGTGAGCAGATGCTAGAACAGGAGTAATATGTTCTCTTTTACTTGTGCCAGTTAGAAATCAGGCTGCTGAGTTCTGGACCATTTGTAAACGAGCAACTGACTGATTCCATACAGCAGATCATTACAGTTATCCAGCCTGGATGTAATGAACGCATCAATGACTGTCTCCAGATTTCTTTTTGACAGGATGGGTTTTAACTTGGACAGTCTCCTCAGCTGAAAAAATCAGGATTTAACAATGAGTTTACATGACTGTTTAATTTCAAGTATGGATCCATTTTTACACCTAGGTTGGTGACAAGTTGTTTTTCAAACGGGACCAGAGTGGAAAGGTTGATGCAAGTGTTACTGTTTGTGTTGTTGGCTGGAAACAGAATGACTTCTGTTTTCTTCTCATTAAAGTTAAGGAAGTTTAAAGCCATCCAATCCCTGATGTCAGCCAGGCAGTCAAGAAGAGGTTGGATGCAGTGTGTGTCAGTCTGTTTCAGAGGAAAGTAAATTTGACAGTCGTCTGCATAAAGATGAAATGGTATGCCATGTTTACGAAAAGATTGCATCTAGTGGCAGTAGGTATAAAGAAAAAAGAAGGGTTCTCAGGATAGAGCCCTGTGGTACTCCCCACTGAAGTGGTGCTGATGAGGACATGAAGTCCTTGATGTTAACACAGAAATGTCTCTCTGTCAGGTAG